AAAAAAACAACCACTAACTGCACATTTCATCTGATTTCATTTTACTACTAACACAAACAAAGAAAAAATGTTTGAAAATGGTGAAATTTAATTCACTTTAAAATGTTTGCATTTTTTTTTAATACTTGTTTTTTTTAATAATTTTATTTTAGAAATGTCATACAAACTTTTTACTAGATGATATTCTGTCTGACTTTTGGTGTGAAACTCACAAAGTCAGACAAAAAACTTAGTTTAAATAATCATGTTAAAATATATTTTATCTAAACAGTTTTAATGAGGATAATCATGTTAAAATATATTTTATCCAAACTTTACTTTAATAGCAAATTTAAAGGTGAAATTTAATACAAGTACCTTAAAAATTGTATACTTTCAGATAGCTTTTTAAATTATAATCAACTTATTTTTTATTTTATTTGGAAATATCTTAAAGTAATTTCTAAAAAAAAAATTTAGATTTAAAAAATTGTAATTCTGTATGTTTCTGTTATTTTTCAAGTTTTTTTGACAGTGAGATTTAAGGTAACTAAAAATTCTAAAAGAAACAAAAACCCTTTCTATACTATAATTTTAGAGTTAAAAAAAATAATGGTCACTTTCTTAATAAAACTTTTTAATAAAAAGAAAATAAAAAAAATTTTTGTTATATATTATCGAAAGTAAGTAAAAAAAATGATTTTAAAAGAAAGTTGATTAATTTTAAATCACTTTAGCTAATTTCTTTAAATCGCTTTAGCTCACTACTTTTTTTTTTTTAATTAAAACTTTTAAATTTTTATATTTAATTTTTTATTTATTTAATAAAAAAGTTTTATTTGAGCTGATATATACAAATCTGTATATATCTGCTCAATCAGTTTCAAGATTTAAACCTGTTTATTATTTTAGATGATAATTTGGTACAATCATATAATCAGTGTATTTAATTTGTTTATATAAACCTTGTTATTTTTTAATCTTTTTTAAGAAAACTAAAATAGAGAATGTGTCAAGTAATAAATTATTTTGTATTAAACATTTTAACAGACAAAGTCTTTTTTTTTTTTTTGTAGATAATGTATTAAACCATCTTTTAAATAGAACTTAGTGTCACTAAGTACTTATATTATTAGTGATGTTCACGTGAGTATGAGTAAGTGTGTTGAGTATAATGATGCATTATTTAAGGGTTTGCATTATTTAAGGGTCAATCTTGTTTTTAACTGACTAACTTATTTAGGTCAGTATTATTATTTAGATAAATTAAATTAGCAATGAAGAAAACATTGATTAGTTTTTTTTTAAAGTTTTTATTTTATATTTATAATTTAATTTTATTAAAAAATATAAAAATGTTTAGTTAAATGATGTTTTGTTTAAAAAAAATTTTTTTCTTCTCTTTTTTATAAAGAATTTTTGTCATTTTTTATATATAAAAGACTTTGCTGAAAAGATATATTTTGTTCCTATTTCTTTACAATTCATACTTCGTTAACTGTAAATTAATTTTGTCAAGAAGAAATACTTTGTTCCTATTTGTTGACAAATCATGTTTTGATAATTGTAAATAAATTTTGTCATAAAGTTATGTTTGCTAAAAACTTTTCATTAATATCATCTCTTTATTACACTAGTTGCATTCTGCCTGATTAAGCTGACAGATTACTTTTTCTTAACATATATGATTTGTTAATTGTAAATAAAAATATATAAATTTATAAGTAATTATATACTTTTATTTCACACTCTATTATTTTGGTAAAAGTTCCTTCTGATTTAAAACCTTGATTACAATAAAATTAAAATGCCAATTACATTACTGTAACTATATGTGCCAATTAAATATAAGGAGAGGGGGTTTTATGGGAGCAGTAAAGGGAGGGGTTTTTATGGGAGAGCAATTATTTTATAAAAGGCTTAAATTTCCAAAAACACTACTAGAAAGTATGCAATTGTCATGTTAGAGATACTTATGTTATTACCATGTTTATATAACTAATTAAAACTCTCTAAATATCTGTCTTTTCAGTATTTTTTGTTTTGCAAAGTATACAATCTGCACCTCTTAGTCTGCTAATGAGTAATGTTGTCATAGTACTCTGTATTATGGTACCATAATGGTTCCTTATTAAAAGAGTATTTACTGTAAAAGTCTTTTAAAATACTGAGTACATTGGTACTAAAATTAATACCAAACAATTTTAATAGTACAATAGTGCTATTTATAAAGCCGAATTATCATTCAGATATTTTTTTCCTTTTTTCAAGCATGAACAATTTGCATTAGTATTAAATTAAATTTTTTTTTTTAATTAAATATTTTTTTTCTGAAACTAAATATAGTATCTAAAGATAAATTGATGATACCAATACAAAAGGCATTTAATTTCAGTGATTAGCCAACAGACTTTGTTTGAAAAGAAAAACTCAATTATACAACTTTTTGGTCCTATAAGTAAAATTAAAATTTTTCTACAAAAAAACTTATATCTTTATTGATGGCAACATTACCATCATTTAAAGCCTAATTTGGAATGTTTTGGAAATTCCAAGCAGTCTCAATAGGTGAGAGGTATGTCATTTCCAAAAATGTGTTAAGATAATATTTCCTTTTTTGTTTGTTTGTAAAATAATAAATATTTGGTAACACAATTTAAATAAAACAAAAAAAAAATAAATTAAAAAAAATTTAAATTTAAAAAAATTATAGTCTATAAATCACTATTAGAGGTGAAAGTTACTGGAAGAGAAAAGATGAAGTTTATAGAGCAAGATAACGATTGACAGACAACTTAAAATATTGCAAAATATATGAATCAGGAAAACAAGATGAAGGAATCGAATTCAAAAGAACTGATGTTGGAGGAAAAATACAAGATAAGAATTTTTAGCGCATTTAGGAACAGTTGCAGTAAAAGGATGAGACTTCATTGAATGACAAGTAACACAAGAATGAATTTTAGTAGATGGCACAAAAGAGCTCAGCTCTTTAGAGCAATGCCCATTATAGAATTTGTAGAAAAGAAAAAGAGAAGCAGCGACAATGTGATAATGGTTAAAGGTTGGCTGCAAGAGCAGGTCCAGCTATGTTTACAATGTGTTTTTGCACCTTGTCTAAAAGAAAAAGAACATCATTGGAAGATCGCCCAGATATGGCAACAGTATTCAATACAAGGATGAATTTGAGATTTATAAAGATAAAAAATAGAATCTGGGTTAAGAAAGTAGCGAGCGCGATAAAGAGATGCAACTTTAGCATATGCGAATTTTGCAATGGATTTAATATATGTTTTCTAAGATTGATCAGAAGTAAGAGTTAATCCTAAAAGATGAAGGGTAGATGGTACATCAAGTATATTACCGTTAGTAAAACTGAAGTAAAACCCTTTTCAAGCTCAAATGCCCCCTCCAAGCAATCAGAGAGTGTTAGCTTCTTATTAAGACAAGAATAAATGGTAGTATCATCAGCAAACAATGCCACCTTAGATGTGAGATTTTCTGGGAGATAGTTAATGTAAATTAAAAAGAACATAGGGCCAAGGATTGAACCTTGAAGAATCCATGAAGTTACAGGATTAAAAGAAGAATGTTATCCATTGACAACTTTTATATTACGATTGGTAAGGAAGGATTCAACAACCTTAAATATGTTACCTGATGCACTATAAGAAAAAAGCTTATGGAGAAGACCAACATGCCAAACTTTATCAAAAGTTTAAGAAATGTCAAGTGTGATAGCCTTAACCTCTCCACACCTTTCTAATGCATGAAAATAAGCTATTGGTTATTACTGTTAGCAAATCAGCTGTAGAACGAGAAGATCAAAACCCATATTGATGATAAGGAAGTAAGTTATTAGATTCAAGATGAGAGACTAAATGTTTGTTTATTAAAGACTCAAAAACCTTGCTTAAGATAGGAAAAAGACTAATGGGACAGTAGTTAGACAAATCAGATTGCTCTCCAGAGCTTTTGAAAATAGGGATAACAGATGCTACTTTCCAGCAGGCTGGAAAACAAGACTCTGATAAGCACTTGTTGAATAGTTTTAAAAGTATAGACGACAGCTCAGGAGAAAAGTTCTGCAAGATTATGACAGGTATGTTGTTCAGACCAAAAGCTGTAGAAGAGTCTAAGCAGGAAATCACTTTAGATATAGAAGTTTAAGTGATACAAATGTCAAACAATGGATCAACCTGTTTGTCGGCTTAATCAGGTAGCATGCAACTATTGGAATAAAGAGATAATATTAATGAAAAGTTCTTAGCTAACAATTCAGGTTTGTCTTTAGGTGAGGTGAGAAAATCTGAACCATACAAGAGAGGTGGAATAGCATATTTGCCCTTGTTATAGATACTGTTAAAGATTCTCCATGAGCCTGATCTTTGAAATTTTATTTATTATTTATTTTGAGAATTTTTGAATATGGGATTTTGTGAGAAAAGCAATTGAATCTAGCAAATCTTGATTAGTTTCTGATACCCTTATCAGAAACACAGGACATAATGATCTCAATATATTTGGTAAATAATTTTGCCACAGTGTCATGTTTTTACTATCTGGATGGCATATTAGTTTTAGGGGAATCAGTTGTTGAAACATATTTGACTTGCTTTCAATCATTTCTTTTGGTTTCATTGATGCTTGTTGCCCTGCTTCATCACAACCATTTTTAAAACACATTTGATACTCATCATCATCTACTGAAATAATTTAAGAATCTTTAATTATATTTAAAACAGAATCAATTGACATTCTTTCAAGTTTTTTGTATTGAAAAGAAACACCTTTTGCATCCAAAACATACTACAGAAATTACACACTAGAGTAGTTAAACTAAGATTAGGTTCCAGCTCCAAATGAAAAACTAAGATTTGGTTCAGCTTCAAATGAAAAAAGCTAAAACAATAACAACAACAACAAAAAAGGCAAAATCGAAATAAAACAAAGTAAAATTTAAAAAAATAAAATTACAATTCTTTGGATGTTCAACAAAATAGTTAAAAATTTTTTTTTACCTAAAATATCCAAAAGAGATTGAAATTCATTTAATGATGATAAGCTATTGATTTCAGAAGCTGATGGTCTGTCCTCAGGGTCTTGTGACCAACAACGATACATTAAAGAGAGAATTAATGCTGGATATTTTCTTTCCTGGCAACATTACAAAAAAAAAGAATACATATAAAATGTTATTAAGAAAACAAAAATTTGAAAAAATTTGTTAAAAAAAAGTAAAGAAAAAAAACAAAACAGACACACAACAAAATATAAAATTTAAAAACAAAAAGAATAACATTTTTATGGTGCAAGATTTAAAAATTAAAAAAAATGACCAAACCAGAGCTCCACAGGAGCTTTGCTTTGATCATTTTGAGAGAAAGAGCAAATAATTTTCTAAACAATGAGTTTAAAAATCCTAAAATTCCAAATAATAGAGTGAATTTCATAAATAAGAGAGTTAAATCAAAACAATAGATAACCAAAGAAAACTGCAACAAAGCGATAAATAACCAAATTTAAAAAATATCACAGCAGGAAAACTAAAAAAAATTAATCATTTTCTAAATGATTTTAAAATAACAAGATTTACTTTTAGCAAAGTAAAAAAAAAAAAAAAAGTTGCATCTAGAATTCTCAATACTCTTTAAAAGTATAAACCTCAGATATTTTTATCTATTAGAAGAGAGAATCGATAGTGTTCTATTTTTAAATACTGATTTTCCATAATACATTAAAAATATTTTCTCTATGTTAAATTATATATTTATATATCTCTTTAATAACTTTTAGATTTCGAAGTTATTTTGGTTTTTACTAGTTATTCCTTGTTTTGTTGTAATTAAAGCTGTTTGTATATATACTTCTGTGTATTAAGGTTAGCATGTTGTTATTCTGTATATTAAGGTTAGCATGATAACATGTTCTGCCAACTTATTTTTGAACTTTAATCCAGACAATGTTTTATTAAAAGATAAAAATAAGAACAACAAAATATTTCACATAGATGCTTCCCAAATGCTCAGTCAATGTATGTATCCTAGCTCCTACAGCTATTCAGTATAATGTTAATCATGATATTTCAATTTAGTATGCTTTAATCGTTATATGAACATGTATAGTTATAAACAAGTATATATATATATATATATATATATATATATATATATATATATATATATATATTCTTATACAGTAGTTAAAAAAGATTTTTTAACATTTAAGCAACATTAACTATTAAGTGACATTTTAATGTTGTTTAAAAGTTAAAACAATTAAAATAATGCAGAAATACATTGTTTTTGCATCTTTTGAAAAAATGCAATAATAATGACTAGAAAGTTTTTTTAATTAATAGTGTTCTTGTTTTTTTATTGTTTTATAATATTTTTAAAACATGCAAGTATTGCTACATTTATTGACAAAAAGGTAAAACAGTAAAAACATATTAAAATAGAAAAGTTTAATTTTTTCTAAAAAAAAAAAAGATTATGGCTTCTAATTTTTTACATCTTTGTTGCTTAATACAAAATACTTAATATAATTACTTCAATCTAGTTACAACTAAATAAAAAGTTAATCTTTTTATATTATAATCATTTTTAATATTTTATAATTTTTTCATTTAATGTTTCATAATTTTTTACATCAATCAACGCTTAGAATCTGTGGCACATAGTTTCATCTAGTTTTGTTAACAAGCTAATTTCCAGCAAATTTTAACCAATTAGAAGTGTTAAAAACAATACATATTTATTACTAAGTCTTCAGTCTTTGATTTTAGCACCTAATATAGATGCAGTTCAAGAACAGATTCTCAACTGGATTAAGTTCAGGTGATTGTGCCTGCCACTCAAAGCTAGTTATTCCAGCATTTTATATATATCTTTTATTTTTGCTGTATTCTTTAGGTCATTGTCTGGCTGAATTATATAGTTTCCATCTGGAAATAGATGTGTTATTTTTGGTTTTAATTGGTGAATTAAATATAATGATATTTATGTTGGTTCAAGATTCTATCACCTCTGTACAGGTTTCCCAATCCATGAGCAGTAAACCCACACCAAACCATAATTTTTTAAATGTTTTTCTGTGGCACATTCTGTACACTCTGGATTATATGGCTCACCATTTTATCCATATTCGATCTCACACACTTGTCAAACTCACTTGTCAATATGACACGTTTTCATTGATCTAAAGTCCACTTTAAGTGATCTTGACACCATTTTAGTTTTTTAACAAAATTTTTCTTGTTTAAAAAAAGCTTTTTTGATTTTCACCCTGAAGTAAACTCTTTATCTACCTATATTCTTGTAAAAATCGTATTGGTACAATCAATCGATCTTCTCTTTCTGTAATTTTTTGCTATCTTCCAGACCCTGTTAATTAAATTTTGAGACAAAACTCTAGACACAACATTCTGATCTACAGTTTAAAGATTTGAACTGTATATGTTGAGTTCTGCAATGTAAATATTTAAACTGTAGATCCACATTAAACCTCTTTGGAGATATTAGGAAAGACCAATCTACATGGTTCATTTGAATTATCCTTTATCACTCCAAAACATGTTTTTTCTTTAATTGGCAAATACAGACTTTAACTGATAAACAAGTAATATAGTAAAAAAAAAATGCTACAATATTATAAGTATGAATGTCTCATACTTAATTTATAGTTGAAGTTCAGTAGTAGCAGAATCAAAGCATCTAACTTTTAATCATATTTAAATTTGTTAAAAAAATTAATTTGAAAAAAACAATATAAAATATTTTGGTTTCTGAAGGTATAAAAAGTTGAAAACAATTTGACATTACAAAAAAAAAAACAATATTAAATTACATTTAAAACATTATAAGATGAAAACTATAAGGTATGAAAAAAATCCTTTTTTAAACTTTTGTTAATTTGATAGCCCGCCTTCTTCTTCTTTAATTTTAATTAGTAAAATAGTAATTTTAATAATTTCTACTTATATTAATAAAAAAACTTATATTGATAAAAAAGTAATTAAAATAATTTAATTTTAATTAGTAAAATAGAAAAATAGGAAAATATATTATGATTATTAAAAATATATCTTAGGCATAAAAACCAAAACTTAAACTTCGCGTTACAATTTTTTTCCTGTTTTTTTCCTTTTTTTATTATTATTATTTTTTTAAATCTTTGCTTCCAACAAGGCTGCAAGCAACCACTAATTAGTGTTGGAAGTTACTGGAAGAAAAAAAATGAAAATTGTAGAGCTAGATAACAATTGGCAGATGACTTAAAAGATTGCAAATTATATGAAACAGGAAAGCAATATGAAGGAAGTGAATTCCAAAGAACTGTAGTTCGAGGAAAAAAACTAGACGAATAAGAGTTTTTTATTTTTTCTGTTACTGTTCCTGGAGCACTTAGTACCAGTAACAGAAAAAGGATGAGACTTAATTGAATGACCAGTAACACGAGAGTGAATTTTAGTAGATAGCTAGAGACGCTAGCTCTTTAGAGCAGTGCCCATTTAAGTATTTGTAGAAAAGAGAAAGAGAAGCAACATTACGACAATGTGATAATGGCTGCAAGACCAACTATGTTTACATTGCATTTTTGCATCTTGTCTAAAAGAGAAAGGGCATCATTAAAATATCCGCCCCAGATATGGCAACAGTATTCCATACAAGGCCGGATTTGAGATTTATAGAGATAGAAAATAGAACCCAGAGTAAGATTTATAGTGCCATGCTCGATAAAGAAATGCAACTTTAGCAGATGCTAATTTTGCAACGGATTTGATATATGGATTCCAAGAGAGGTCAGAATTAAGAGTTAATCCTAGAAGATGAAGGGTAGATGACTCAGGAAGGTCTAAATTATTGCCATAACGATTGGCTGAAAAAATTGAGTCATATTTGAATTAAAGTTCACGAGCCACTGTGAGCCCCATGCTGTAGCAGAAGTGAGATCCTTTTTAAGCTCTAATGAGGGGACATTTGAGCAATCAGAAGCAATCAGAGAAAGTTGGCTTCTTATCATGACAATGATAAGAAGCCAAATCTCTGATGATAGAAGCCATCTCGCTGATGATAAGAAACCATGATGATACTACTATAAATGGCAGTATAATCAGCAAACAATGCCACCTTAGATGTGAGAATATCTGGAAGATCGTTAATGTAAATTAAAAAGAATATAGGGCTAAGGATTGAACCTTGAGGAACCCCTGAGGTTACAGAATAAGAAGAAGAGTGCTGTCCATCAAAGACAACTTTTATACTACGATTGGAAAGGAAGGATTCAGTAATCTTAAAGATGTTTCCAGATACACTGTAGGAAGAAAGCTTATGGAGAAAACCAGCATGCCAAACTTTATTAAACGCTTTAGAAATGTCAAGAGCGATGGTTTTAACCTCTCTACCTTTATCTAATGCAAAATAAAACCTATCGGTTATTACTGTTAGTAAATCAGCTTTAGAACGAGAAGATTGAAATCCATATTGATGATCAGAAAGTAAGTTATAAGATTTAAGATGAGAGATTAAGTGTTAGTTATTTAAAGATTAAAAAATCACTTTAGATACAGAAGCTGGAGTGATACAAATGTCAAGCAATGGATCAACCTGTTTGATGGCTATATCAGGTAGAATGTAAATAGTGGAATCAAGAGATGATATTGATGAAAAGTTCTTAGCAAATAATTCAGCTTTGTCTTTAGGTGAGATGACAAAGTCTGAACCATACAAAAGAGGTGGAATAACAGACTTGCCCTTATTATTGATACTATTAAAAATTTCTCCAGAAGTCACGAGAGCCTAATTTTTGTGATGAAATCTGAGATTTCATGACCTGAGAATAGCGGGCTTTGGCGTTGGACAAAATCTTTTTACAATGGTTCCTAGCAATAATAAACAGATGTCTGTTTTCTGGAGAATTGTTTTGCTGATAGATATGGAAGTAGTGGTTTCGATTGGCAATTGCAGCAGCACAATGTGAGGAAAACCATTGGAGAAGAGTGAGGCAATACCTGGAATTGTTGAGAGGGAATAAAGGATTCCATGCCAGCCTGAATCCATGAAGTTATGTAAGAAGCACATTTGTTAAAAGGAAGACAAAAGATTTCTAACCAAGGGCCATCACGAAGAAAATCATGGAAAGAGTCCCAGTCAGCTTTCACGTGGTTGTAAGATGTACAATGATAGGAGGATTCTGGTGATAAGGAAGAATGAGATAATAGTTTTAAAGAGATCAAACTGTGATCAGAGGCACCTAAGAGTAAACGTGGAGAAACTGAGCACTGACTAGGATCAGAAACAAGACATAAGTCGAGTAGAGAAGGTAAATGATTCGGGTTGTCTGGAAAGCGAATTGGACTATTTTGGGTTAGGCGAGTTGATTAGTCGGGTTGTCTGGAAAGCAAATTGGATTATTTGAGTTAAGCGAGTTGACTATTTGAGTTAGGGATTGAGAAAGGCAAAAATTGTGGGCTTTAATGCTTGCAGAGTCACTGACACTAGGGCCAAGCCATTCAACAATATTGGCTGGTGGATAAAGAGAGAGGGCTTGGTCAATATGATCAGAAATAACATCAAGAAGAGTGCAATTTTGAGATGAAGGAGAGCAATATAGAACTAAGAGAAAGGTGATAGAATGTATTGGTGCTAAACAAAAGCACATAAAAGAGTAGTCTGTGGATTCAAACCTAGTTTCTCAACAAATGGGTGAATTCTTACGAATGTAAATGCCCAGGCCAAGCATGTGACTTTTGGAGTCTTTACGAATTATAGGAAGATAACCATCAACACTAAGATCACAAGATGAGACAGCTGAACTCAAATTAGTCTCACAAAGAGCAAGTAGGTCTGGTGAACTTTGTAAAAGATAAGACTTAACAGAAGAAAATTCAGTTTGAAGACCACGAATATTAGCGAATAATAGGTTTAAAGAACTTGGTGATGAGAGTGGTTTTTTGTGTTTTATAGTTTTTGCTACTTTATTCATTTTTTAAATTTGTTAAAGAACTTGACTCAAAACATAGATAGTACTTAGTACACTGTTTGATAGCCCAAGCAATTGCCTAATTACTATTAATAAACCCTAAGCCGTAACAAAGGGCTCTAATGTGGTAGCATTCAGAGAGGCTGATTTCAGTTGATGGAATCAGCCTCTCTGAATGCTACTACAGAGTTTGAGAAATCTGACTACCAGCTGGCCTCAGAACCATAAAACTGAGTTTTAGAGCTGTACCCTTATTAGGAGTTAATAGAATGAGTTGCCTAGTCATAAAAAACCTAGACACAAGTAAAACCTATGCATCGAATCAAGATCTTGCATTCAACATACTAAACTGGAAGCAATGTACTAAAAATACATCTGCACCAGCCTAATAGATGAAAAAAGGGTGCGAGGCTGGTCAACAGATAGGATCTAGTTTATCTCTATTTATATTTTAAAAAATTTATATAGTTTTTAGCTTTTTTACCACTTCTGCAATTCAGTTTATTTTAATTTTTTTAACAGTTCAATAATGCATCAGTAGTTTAAAAAAAAAAGACAAAACAATAAATTTTTAAAATAAAATCATCCTATTTATTTTGAGGATACTCAATGTGTGTGTATACATATATATATATATATATATATATATATATATATATATATATATATATATATATATATATATATATATATATATATATGAATGTATATATACATATATACATATATATATACATATATATATATATATATATACAGAGCCATAAGCACTGGGGGCCAATGGGATCATGCCCCCCCCCCAATTTTTTTTAAATTATAATTATTAGGGAAAAACATCTTTTTACCAAATATTTTATCCCCTCCCTCCTTTAAAAGTACCATAGACTCCCCTAAAATCAAAATTGTGGTTACGGCTCTGATATATATATATATATATATATATATATATATATATATATATATATATATATATATATATATATATATATATATATATATATATATATATATATATATATATATCTTTATACGACCACGCAAGTTACATATTGCTATGACGGTTTGACGGCGGCTAATTCAAAAAACATTTTAGAAACGCGCTAAATAAAAAATATTCTAAAAAAGTGAAATTAATTACATCAAAACTTCTTAACAATTGTTTTTATATTAGCAAAACGATTTTAAATAAAGTAATAATTTACTGAAAAAAAGTTGTTTTTTAAATATAATTGACAGTTGTATATATTTTTTTAATTTAAAACATATAAATTGTTAAAGTGTTCATTTCTAAAATAAATCTTAATAAAAAATAAAAAATTGTTTTGTTTTTATAAATGATGACATTCTACGACTACGAAAGTCTCTTTCGTAGAGACTTTCGTAGTCGTAAAAATGAAAGTTAATGCATTTAAAAAGATAAACAAAATTTTGTTTAAAAAAAAAGTTTTAGAAAACCGTTACAATTTAATAAGTTTGATCTTAAATGCTTTTATATTATCGAAGCGCTTTTAATGTAAAAAAAAAAAACTTCTAATTAATTTAAAAAAAAAAGTATTTATAAAATTTTTTTTTATTTTATTTATATAACTATGTACTTTTTATAAGAAATATTTAACTTTTGAACATATTAAACAAATAAAAAATATATAAAAAGCTTGAAACAAAGATTGAAAAGGTTTTTTAATGCGTAAATTAAATAGACTAAGCATTTTAGTTTGATGAGTTTTGTTTTAGTTGCCTTATATATATATATATATATATATATATATATATATATATATATATATATATATATATATATATATATATATATATATATATATATATATATATATATATATATATATATATATATATATATATATATTTATATATACATTTTTGTGTTCTTGCTTTAACTAAGTATTTTTATTTTCTCTTCCGTTAATATTTATTGTTTTTTTAAATTTTTTTTTCAGATAAGTTTAGGTAAGTTTTTGTAGCGCGTTTTTAAATTTTAAAAATATGCCGTGGTCAAATCGTTAAAACATTTTTTTTTTGCGTGGTCAAATAAAGACATGAAATTGCACATCTTCCTGTGAAAGCCTGTATGGATATATATATGGATATATATATGGATATATATATATATATATGGATATATATATATATATATATATATATATATATATATATATATATATATATATATATATTTCAGCATGTAAAATAACGGCCGGTCAATGGTCAATGACTACCCAAAATGAGTAAAATTGCTATTTTGACCTCCCAAAATGAATTAATTATCAAATATTAAGTTGTTTTTGTATTTATAAAGTTCAGTCAAGAAGAACTATTATGAAGATTAAAATGAAAACAAAGAAAATAATAAAAATGTTGACCACCCAAAAAAAACAGTTGACTGTCAATTCCAAGGGTTAGCTGGTCAAATTGACCGCTCGCCTTCGATTTCTTATTTTACATATATATATATATATATATATATATATATATATATATATATATATATATATATATATATATATATATATATATATATATATATATATATATATATATATATATATAAACATATAAAATATGATATATTAAATCTCATAAATTTTGAATAAATTACCATTTTTGTCAGTTTTGGTCTTTTCCCATCAATAATATTTTGTTTAACTAAATGCATGTTGGAGATATTGTTAAAAGGTCGATGCAAAGATAATAACTCATAAATAAAAGAACCAAATGAAAAACAATCAACCTAAAAAAATTGTTAAAAACGATCAAAAATAATTATGACAAATAATAATATAAAAAATTAATTAAGTTTTAATAAATTTATAATTTCTAGAAGAAAAAAAATAAATAAATTGTATTTTTTGTTTATTTCTTAATTAACCTTATACTTATATCAAAATTTTATCCAATATATTTACACCAACAAATATTTTAAAATTAAATTGTTTTTTACTTAATAAGAATTATTACTTTAATTAGAATATCAAAATATGAAATACTTAAAAATAAATTAACTTTATAAAAAAAATATACACTACCAAAAAAAGTTCTTAAAAAAAACAAAGAAAAAAAAAGCTCAAATTACTTTTTCAGAATAAATCTCTTTGCCTAAATACTTTGAAATTTCTGGTGCTATGTATCCTACAGTTCCTTGATGACCTTTTGTTCCACCAATAAACACAGTTCGACTAATTCCATAATCAGCTAAAAGTAAATAAACCTGAGATGTTGAGGAGGATTCATTAAACGGATCTGGAAACTTTCGAGCAAGTATGTTATCACACTTTAAATCTCGATAAATAATTCCTACTTTGTGAAGATACTTCAGAGCAGAACTGACCTGAAACATCATTAATATTTATTTACTAATTCATTTCAAATTATAATTAATATATGTTTACTATTTTATTTTAAAAATCTTTTGAAAAGTAAGAGTTTCAACAAATACACTCCAGACCAGATATTTGTTTCTTTTTAAAATTTTCAATGAATGTGTCAAATTTGTGATTAAAAGCATCTCAAGAGAAAATTATAACATTTTTTATATCAATTTTTATTTTATTTTTTTTTATTAATAATTATTATTTATTAAATATATTGATAATTAAAATTTTTGTTTTATTGACATCATTTCTGACCTGAAAAAGTAATTTTATCATACCTTTTTGTATGTTTTTTGTATTGAAATGTCAATGAAAAATCGTGCCAATCAGATTTGGGGTCAAATACATATTAATATTTGAATTTGTATTTATATTTGGTAAAAATAGAGTATTTGTATTCCTATTGTATTTAATTAAAAAATTTCTTAAATATTTGTACTTGATTAAAATGTATTTGCAATTCCATAAATTAGGTTAACCAGTGTTTTATTGGGAAAAACCAAGATGTCGTTTTTTTAACACTAAAATAAAATAAAAATTTATTTTTAAAGGATATTTCATACTTTTCTATTAAGTGTAAACTTTTGTCAGCCTTGAAAAAAATCTTTGTACTTTTTCTTAACTAAAGTACAAATATTTGTAATTGTATTTGTATTTGGAGTACGATTGCATAAATTTGTATTTGAATTTGTATTTGAAAATCTAAAATTTATGTATTTGAACCCAAAACTGATGCCCATACTTTTTTTAGCTGTATTAACTTTTATATGAAATATAAATGTTAAATATAAATAAAATATATATTAAAATGAAATATAAATATGAAATATAAATAAAATATATTAATATGAAATATAAAAGTTAAATATATATTTTTTAAAACTGAAAAACTCTTAATTTTCTAAATAAAAAACATAATAAAAATTTAATTTCTATACTTCATGTCATATTATCATATTATTTCATTTCTGTTTTTAAGTAACTGGAATTCTCTATGCATTATATATCATTTTGTAATATTTAGTCTTATCAAAATTTTCTTGACACGTTATATAAAAATATAAGATAAATTATATAAAAATATAGATAAATACACACACACACACACACACACACACACACACACACACACACACACACACACACACAAACACAAACACATGACAAGGGAATCTGTCAATGCTTATCAATAAAGATTTTGTACTATCTTTTCTTTAATTGATGTTGACTCTCTACCATCTAAAATATATTCCAGATGACCTTTGTAAATTATATAAAAATATAGAAGCAAGAGGTGCTTTGAAAATGCTTATTGCTGGCAACAGTCTTGTTGTGGTAGGTGTATTTTACAAAAAATGCTTCTTGTTGGCAACAGTCTTGTTGTGGTAGGTGGTTAAATATGGTAGGTGTATTTTACAAAAAATCAATGTCATTGAAAAAACACAGAATTTTTTTTTTTTTAATAACATATTCACTTCTTACAAGGCTGCAAGCAACCACTAATTAGAGTTGGAAGTTACTGGAAGAGAAAAGATAAAATTTATAGAGCAAGATAACGATTAACAGGCAACTTAAAATATTGCAAATTATATAAATCAGGAAAACAAGATAAAGGAAGCGAATTCCAATAAACTGATGTTCAAGGAAAAAAAACTAGACAAATAAGTACTTTTGGAGCGCTTAGGAACAGTCACAGTAAAAAGATGAGACTTAATTGAATTGTTGAGTAACAAGATAATGAATTTTAGTAGATGGAATAAGAGAGGCTAGCTCTTTAGAGCAGTGCCCATTATAGTACTTATAGAAAAGAGAAAGAGAAGCAACATTACCATGATGTGATAATGGTTGGAGGTTGGCTGCAAGGTCAGGTCCAACTAATTCAAATAAAAAAAGAATCACAGCAGCCTTTTGCTGCTGTATTTTAAATGCACTTGGTTAAGAGAGAAACATTTGCTAATGCATTGAGGATCTTTTCTCTGTAGTACTCATATTCTCTAGAGTTTTAATATAAATTTGTTGGAGACAAAATTCAAAATAGAAAAATTATAATTAAATTTTCATAACAATATTTGAGTGAAAATGCTTATAAATGTTTTTTACTGGTCAGGTCAGGTTTATCCTGCTACTGGTAACATTACTGTCAACTACTGGTTACTGGTAACCCAGTACAATCTGCTTCATGCCCTGCTGCCTTGTTGAATATGCCTTTTTAGGCAAAGGCTAGGAAGTGCAAACTCCGACATAAAACACTCCCTGCCTTGGGGCTCTTGGTTGAGTAAAAGCTAGAGATGGTGTCTTGATAAAAATACTCATCTTGGGCAGATGTTAAATGCATCCGGCTGTGTCTTGTAGAAGGCCTCCTAGGCAAAGACTTAAGGGGTAAACAGATTCTATCTGTTGACCAGCCTCGCACCCCTTCTTCATCTATTAGGCTGGCGCAAATGTATTTTTAATACATTGTTTCCAGTTTAGGATGTTGAAGGCTGGATCTTCTTGACTCAATTCATGGGTTTTGCTTTTGTCTCTGTTTTTATGACTAGGCAACTCATTCTATTATCTCCAAATGAGATAATGAGGGTACAGCTCTAAAACTCAGATTTATGGTTCTGAGGCCGGCTGGTAGTCAGGTTTCCCGAACTCTGTGGTAGCTCTCAGAGAGGCTGATTCCATCAACAGCTGAAAAATATCAGAGTACTAACAGTGCCATGTTGCGCATGGATGGTGTCCCTGTTTGTACTTTTGGTGTGCATTGCCAAGGCCACATTGGAGCCCTTTGATACAGCTTAGGGTTTATTAGTGGAAATGAGGCAATTGCTTGGGCTATAAGACAGTGTACTGAGTACTATCTATGTTTCGAGTCAAGTTCTTTAACAAATTTAAAAATGAATAAAGTAACAAAAACTATAAAACACAAAAAACCACAGTCATCACCAAGTTCGCTAAACCTATCATTCACCAATATTCGTGGTCTTCGAAGTAACTTTTCTTCTGTTGAGTCTTATCTCTTGCAAAGTTCACCAGACCTACTTGCTCTTTGTGAGACTAATTTGAGTTCAGCTGTCTCATCTTGTGATCTTAGTGTTGATGGTTATCTTCCTTTAATTCGTAAAGACTCCAATAGTCATATGCTTGGCCTAGGCATTTACATTTGTAAGAATTCACCCATTTGTCGGGAAACTAGGTTTGAATCCACAGACTTCTCTTTTATGTGCTTTCGTTTAGAACCACTTCACTCTATCACCTTTCTCTTTGTTCTATATCGCTCTCCCTCATCTCAAGACTGCACTCTTCTTGATATTATTTTTGATTATATTGACCAAGCCCTCATTCTTTATCCATTAGCCAATATTGTTGTTGGCGGTGACTTTAATGCTCATTACACTGAATGGCTTGGCTCTAGTGTCAGTGACTCTGCAGGCATTAAGACCCACAACTTTTGTCTTTTTCAATCCCTAACCCAAATAGTCAACTTTCCAACTCGCTTTCCAGACAACCGGAATCATTTACCTTCTCTACTCGACTTATGTCTTGTTTCTGATTGTAGTCAGTGCTCAGCTTCTTCACATTCACCCTTAAGGGCCTCTGATCACAGTTTGATTTTTCTAAAACTATTATCTCATTCTTCTTTACCATCAGAATCCCCTTATCATCGTACATCTTACAACTACCTTAAAGCTGACTGGGACTCTTTCCGTGATTTTCTTCGTGATGCCCTCTGGGTATAAATCTTTTATCTCCCTGTTGACAAATGTGCTTCTTACATAACTTTGAGGATTCAGGCTGGCATGGAATCCTTTATTCCTTCTTGACAATTCCAGGTCAAGCCTCACACTTCTCCATGGTTTTCCTCACATTGTGCTGCTGCAATTGCCAATCGAAACCACTACTTCCATATCTATCAGCAAAACAAATTTTCCAGAAAACAGATGTCTGTTTATTACTGCTAGGAACCATTGTAAAAAGGTTTTGTCTAGTGCCAAAGCCCGCTATTCTCAGATCATGAAGTCTCGTATTTCATCACAAAAATTAGGCTCTCGTGACTTCTGGAGAATCTTTAATAGTATCAATATAAGGGCAAGTCTGTAATTCCACCTCTTTTGTATGGTTCAGACTTTGTCACCTCACCTAAAGACAAAGCTGAATTGTTTGCTAAGAACTTTTCATCAATATCATCTCTTGATGCCACTAGTTGCGTTCTACATGATATAGCTGTCAAACAGGTTGATCCATTGCTCGACATTCGTATCACTCCAGCTTCTGTATCTAAAGTGATTTTCCGCTTAGACTCTTCTACAACTTGCGGCCAGGACAACATACCTGTTATAGTCTTGCAGAAGTGTTCTCCGGAGCTGTCGTCTATCCTTTCAAAACTATTTAACAAGTGCTTATCAGAGTCTTGCTTTCCAGCCTGCTGGAATGTAGCATCTGTTATCCCTATTTTTAAAAATTCTGGAGAGCGATCCGATTCGTCTAACTACCGTCTCATTAGTCTTCATAAGCAAGGTTTTTGAATCTTTAATTAACGAACACATAGTCTCTCATCTCGAATCTCATAACCTACTTTCTGATCATCGATATGGATTTCGATCTTCTCGTTCTACGACTGATTTGCTATCAGTAATAACCGATAGGTTTTATCGCGCATTAGATAAAGGTGGAGAGGTAAAGGCCATTGCTCTTGACATTTCTAAAGCGTTTGATAAAGTTTGGCATGCTGGTCTTCTCCATAAGCTTTCTTCTTACGGTGTATCTGGAAAAATCTTTAAGATTATTGAATCCTTCCTTTCCAATCGTAGTATAAAAGTTGTCCTTGATGGACAGCACTCTTCTTCTTATTCTATAACCTCAGGGGTTCCTCAAGGTTCAATCCTTGACCCTATACTCTTTTTAATTTACATTAACAATCTTTCAGATATTCTCACATCTAAGGTGGCATTATTTACTGATGATACTACCATTTATTCTTGTCACGATAAGAAGCCAACTCCCTCTGATTGCTTGCAGGGGGCATCTGAGCTTGAAAAAGATCTCACTTCTGCTACAGCATGGGGCTCACAGTGGCTGGTGAACTTTAATTCAGATAAAACTCAATTTTTTTCAGCCAATCGTTATCGCAATAGTTTAGACCTTCCTATATTTATGAACGGTAATGTACTCGATGAGTCTCCTACCCTTCATCTTCTAGGATTAACTCTTACTTCTGATCTCTTTTGGAATCCATATATCAAATCCGTTGCAAAATTAGCATCTGCTAAAGTTGCATTTCTTTATCGAGCATGACACTATAAATTTTACTCTGGATTCTATTTTCTATCTCTATAAATCTCAAATCCGGCCTTGTATGGAGTACTGTTGCCATATTTGGGGCGGATATTTTAATGATGCTCTTTCTCTTTTAGACAAGATGCAAAAATGCAATGTAAACATAGTTGGACCTGCTCTTGCAGCCATTATCACATTGTCGTAATGTTGCTTCTCTTTCTCTTTTCTACAAATACTTAAATGGGCACTGCTCTAAAGAGCTAGCGTCTCTTGTGCCATCTACTAAAATTCATTCTCGTGTTACTTGTCATTCAATTAAGTCTCATCCTTTTTCTGTTACTGTTCCTAAGTGCTCCAAAAACTCTTATTCGTCTAGTTTTTTTCCTCGAACATCAGTTGTTTGGAATTTGCTTCCCTCATCTTGCTTTCCTGATTCATATAATTTGCATTCTTTTAAGTCGTCTGTCAATCGTTATCTTGCTCTACAATCTTCGTCTTTTCGCTTCCAGTAACTTCTAACACTAATTAGTGGTTGCTTGCAGCCTTGTTGGAAGCGAAGATAATTAAAAAAAAAAAAAAAAAAAAAACTTGTTTTATAGAGCATAAATATTTTTATCTTTAAGTGATAATTTGTGTCTTTTATTAATTAATTCTTTGTGTCTTTCGCCAATGAATCCTTTGTGTCTTTCACCAATGAATCGTTTGTGTCTTTAGACGATGAGTAGTTTTTCCATACAACTTACATCCAGCACATTCATTTTTCTCAATCAACGGGATGGGCACAAATTGCATTTGAAATCTTAAAAAAAATCCTTCTTATTGAGATGTAGATTAGATTTTATGAACTTTATTAAAACTATTTTATTAGCTCTAACATGTTGAACTCTTTGTTTAACTTAAAATTAGGTCAAAAATTTTTTTTTTTTTTACCTTTGTAATAGAAATACACTTATCATATTATTGATATAGTCTTTGAATAAATTGATTATATAATGAAAATGCTACAAAAATGTCATCAACATATGATGTCATCATCATTATGTCATTGACATTGTTTGTAAAAAGCAGGCTTAAGAAGCAAAAACCTAAACGATATATTTTTTTATAATTAGACTCTTCAAATTAGAAACAATTACTCTTGAATTTCTATAAAAAGTTTTAAAGTTGTGTCTAATGATAGTGATACTCTTAAGTTTTATTTTGGTTGGATCACTAATGATTTTTTAGAGCCTGTTATCATTTTGCAACACTTTTTCCTTTATGTTGTTTTCAAATAGCATCGTTATTGTTACAGAACTCAATGTTTATTTAGAGTTTCTATAGATGGGCAATATATAAATACAATATATAAATTAATTAGATTTTTTAAAACAAATTTATTAAGAACACAAAAGTGAAAATAACAGAACCTACAACTTTTAAAGCTCATTTAAATTGTTCAATTTAAAACTTAATTGTTAAAAATAAGAAGAAAAAAAACAACTAATCTTTAATAATTTTTCAATTTATAAATCAATGTATAAAGTGTTTACCCTTTAAGTATTAGTGTTAGTTTTTACTTTTTTTTACTTTGTTTCTTTTCTTACTGTTTCAGTTATTAAGTCTTTTTAATCAAAAATTTCAAACTTTACATTTTAAAATTCAAAAAAAAAAAAAAAAAAAAAAAAAAAAAAAATACTTAAAAAGAAAACACAGCAAACTCAATAAAAGTAATGCAATTAAAATATAAAACAAAACCTGCTTTAATGATTCAACGACAGTATAAATTGAAAGTCTTTTACCGGCACTTGAAAACTCACCAAGACAATTACTAAGTGCACCTTTCGGTGCCAATTCTAAAAACATTGCAAATGGATTCGAAGATACCCCTAAAAACTTTACAATATGTTCATGACGCAAGGAAAGGAGAATGGAAACCTCTTGACGAATTGTTCTAAAAAAAGTTAATGACAATATATAGTTAGCAAAGTATTGGATTTTACCTTACAGAATACATATAAACAGTATGTAATATGATTATCACCATATGTAGTATACATGTGGTGATGTATATGCATGCATGTAATACAATGTATTTGTGTGTATAATTAATGCAGTAGATATATATGTATATATATATGTGTGTGTATATATATATATATATATATATATATATATATATATATATATATATATATATATATATATATATATATATATATAAATTAGTAGAAAATCACTTAGCAAAATTTTTTCTCATTTTACACTGAGTTTCATCAATAAAGACTTATCAGAAATGAATGATCAAATTAATAAAACTTCAATTTATACCAAAAATTAAATTACAGGAAGTCACATGTCTTAAATACTGATTTTTCACACATTTGTGTAATTTGCTGACACTATTGTAAAAAGAATTCTTTAGAAATGATTACTTTAGCTTTTTTAAAAAATAAATTTTTTTTTTCAAAGGGGAGTTAATGTAACTATTATTTGAGCTCACTTATTTTTATAGTTTTTTAGGAGAAACTTATTTTCATGCCTGCATTTAGAAATCAATTCCAATTTTTCGTTTAATAAACATTCTTGGTTTGTATGTGTAATTATTTCAAAATTTTCTTGTAGACATAGTATGCATTTTTTGGAAATATTGTTATATGCAGGCACTGTTTTAGAGATGACAAATTCAGTGTAAAATCATCAATATTTTTATCTTTTAATTCCCATATATATTTTGACAGCATGGTGTCTTTTGAATACTTTTTATTTTTAAAAGATTGCTTATGATTGGCAAAACATTTTTTCCATTCACCTTCTGTTATGCCAATATATTGTTTATCAGGCACATTCTTAAAGGAGACAACACATTTATATACATGTATATATATATATATATATATATATATATATATATATATATATATATATATATATATATATATATATATATACATATATATATATATATATATATATATATATATATATATATATATATATATATATATATATATATATATATATATATATATATATATATATATATATTTATATGAGTTTTTGTAAATGGAACTAGAGATAATAACTCTTTTGAGCAGCCACCATGATAGAATTTGTAGAAAAGAGAGAGGTGCAACTTTACGAAAATGGGAAAGTAGCTCAAGCTTAGCAGATAAAGCTTGTTTAGAAGAAAAAGGGCATCATAAGAAAAACCAGCCCAAATATGACAACAACATTCAATACAGGGACAAAAAGATATTTGTAGATGCTCTACCTCTACAAATATCTTTTATTATATATAGATTTTGCATATAGATTTAAAAAAAAAAAATCTATATGCAAAGCATGGGCTAAAGTTCCAGAAGAAGATGTCAAGAATGCATGCAGATCCTTCCAGCGGCGTATCCAACTTGTGTATGATGCCAATGGAGGCCACATTGAATAATTTTAAACCTTAGTAATGAATAAACATCTAGTCAAAAATCTAGTCAGTTATGAATTAAATTAAATTTTTTGTGTATTTTCAAATTTTTATATTTTTTGCGTTACGTTGTTGCTCGGTCACCCGGTATATGTCTTTTCTGTTTAAAATTTAATACTGGCGCACAACACTAGTTGGATGGTCATTTTTAGGTTGGTGTGTGTGATTTTAATAATTCAAATTTTTTGCTACTTATATCAAAATAAAAACAGCAAAAAGAAGGCATTAAATAAATACTAGATGAAAAAATTAACAAGACAAAACCCGGCAAAACTTTATTTAAATTCTAGATGAAATAATAATAAAAAAAAAAAACAGCAAAAAAATAAAAAATAAAAAGCTTTTTATATGAATTTTACATATATTTATATATGTATATACACACGCATATATATATATATATATATATATATATATATATATATATATATATATATATATATATATATATATAGAGAGAGAGAGAGAGAGAGAGAGAGAGAGAGAGAGAGACTGCTTAATGTTGTTAAAGAACAGAGCAATAATAAATTACTAAAAACACTTATCTAATTTTTATCTTCGAGAGCTTGTTTCTCCATTAGTAGGTTTATCAGGAAGCTATAAATTTTTATGAATGAAAGTTAATAAACAAATTTAACTTTTTAATTTAACTTTACAAATTTTCATTTAGACATTGCAGTCTGAAAGAAAACCATTAGGAAATTAAAGTGTTTAAAAATTTCCAAAGTTTGTTATTGAGCTAATTAGAAAAATGCTATATTTATTAGGACTATTTATTGATCCAAAAATCAGATCAACTTTAGTTTTAAACATGCTCAAAGTGGACAGGCAAAAGAAATTTCTCCATTTAAAATTTATGCAGAGGTTATTTGAGATTCGAAATAGTAAACAAGTTGTCAAACTATAAACAGAACTATTAAAGTTCTAGAAATTACCTTTGATGGTCGAGTATGGTATGAGCTCAAATACTTTTGATAAAGTCAGATAACAAAATACATCAAAGATTTTTCTTTTTATTCAGAAAGTGTTTAGTGATCATGTACAACTTGTTTCCAAAGTTTCTTATATTGTCTATGGTATGGAAGCACGTCAAAACTTATTGTGGATAAAATTCTAATCAGAAAGCATCAAAAGAATTTTATGTATAAATGTTTATTTGTGTCTAAATAAATTTTTGTTATAAGAATTTGAGTTTGTGTATAATTCTTGTAATTATTTAATATTAAAAGTCATTTTTTATAAAGTTTATTTATGCAATTTTTCAAAAACATTTTGTTTTTGACAACCTTTTATGTTATTGATTTGGACAGTAGATTTCTGAAAATAAATTCAGAGCATAGATATCTGCAAAATTTTACGCCGGTAAAAGTTTTATAATATTGAATGAAAAAGCATTTTACATCTCTAAATTTATGTCTGTAAAAATTTGCTGGTAGCATTTTACGCCAATAAAAAGTTCTATAACATTGACCCCTGATGCTGACCTCTAAAAGATTGAGGTCGATAAATTATTGCCGACCTCAATTTTTCTAATTTCGAGGGTTGCATATATTATATACATATACACACACAGATATATATATATATATATATATATATATATATATATATATATATATATATATATATATATATATATATATATATATATTTATATATATATATTTATATATAAATATATAATATATATATATATATATATATATATATATATATATATATATATATATATATATATATATATATATATATATATATATATAAATTAAAATCATCTTTATTTTATATTTTACTTTTAAAAATATGTGGGTAATCAAGCATTTAATCAAAAAATATTTCAAATACTTGTAAGCTTCATATGACAGCATGGTGGCCATCAAAACTTGGTTACTTTCTTTTACAGAACCTCCTGGAACCTTCATAGCAGATAAGACAGTTGAGTCTCCACGTTTTATTTCAGCTACAAAAACATCCCCAAATCCTCCTTTAGCAATGAATTTAATTGGAACAATTTTACAATCATTAAGGACATAACCTGATTCAACATCAAGAAAGTACTAAAAATAAAAAAACATGATTGCAATCTTTTAACTTTAAAACCCATCTTATTTGAAAAGAGGAATGGTTACTACTATAGAAACAGTTTAAAACTGCAATAATATTTTTTTCACTCTAAGTTACTATTGAGTAAAAATATTTCAAAAAAAAACACACACAAAAAAAATAAAATAAAAAATCAGCACTCTACATCACTAAATACGCTAAAATTTTGTACAAATATTTAAAGACATAAGTTAGGAAAGTCTGTAAATGTTTTTCATAAAATTCCAATCCATTTACAATTTACAGCAATTTAAAGTTTGTTTGATTTTGACTGAAAAATGAGAGGGAAAGTCAAAAATTGTCAAAAATTTTTGTTTACTATTACCTTTATAAGGTATCTCATTAATCTATCACCTTTCTCTTTCTTCTTTATTATTCTACCTCTTCCTAAGACTGCGCTCTTTTGGATGTAATTTATGATTAAATTGACCATGCCCTCTCTCTCTTTACCCCTTTGCCAATATTATTGTTATTGGTGACTTTAATGCTCATCACACTAAAAGGTTTGGCTCTAATGCCACTGACCCTGCTGGCACTAAAGCCTATAACTTCTGCATTTCTCAATCTCTCACTCAGAGAGTTAACTTTATGACTAAATTCTTGACAACCATAATCATTTACCTTCACCTTGATTTATGTCTGGTCTCTGATTCTAGCTTGTATTTAGTTTCTAATTTTTCTCCTTTAGTAGGTTCTGACTATGCAATGATCTCTTTAAATCTATTTTACTTCCTTTATGGACTCACTCTACGACTTACTACTACCCTAAAGCTGACTGGGATTCTTTTCGTGATTTTCTTTGTCATGGTTTTCAATTGTTCTTGGGCTGATTTCAATTTCCTCTCAGCTGAAAAACGCAACTCCTAGGTGACCTCCTAGATTTAGGCAGGAATGGAAGCTCTTATTCCTTCTCATCGGTTCCAAATAAAGCTTCATTCTACTTCATGATTTTCACCCTCTTGTGCATTGTCAAATCATAATCAATTTTTCATCTTTTCAAAAGAACAACTCTTTTGAGAACAATTGGCTATTTAATATTGCAAGAAATTGATATAAAAAAATTGCTGTCTGATGATCCATTAATCAGTTTACTATATCTTGTATCTCAGAAGTTAGACTCTACAGACTTTTGGAAAATCTTCAACAGTGTCATTCACAAGGTTAAGTCTAACATTCCATCTCTCATTCATGGGACTAATCTTATTACTTCTCCCAAGGATAAGACAGAACTATTTGCAAAAAATCTTTCTTCAACTTGACTCTTGAATCTTATGGCCATTCTCTTCCTTAGATTCCAATTAAACAGATTAACCCATTGTTAGACATTTAAATTATTCCAGTTTCCATTGCTAAACTCTTCTATAGCTTGTGGTCCAGGCAAGATTCCTGTCATAGTCTTACCAAATTGTTCTCCAGAAATCTCTTCAATTTTTTCTAAAGTATTTAAGTGCTTGATTGAGTCTTGCTTTCTTGCTTGCTGAAAAATGGCATCTGTTGTTCAAATTTTCAAAAACTCCCTTGAACATTATGACCCTACCAATTATGGCCAGATCAGTCTTCTTTCTGATATTAGCAAGGTCTTTAAGTCATTAATCAACAAATTTCTCACATCCCATCTTAAATCAAACAACTTATTGTCAGACAACCAATACAATTTTTTTTGATTTATTAAAGACATTCTTAAAGGCCAACACTGTTTTTTATTTCAAGTAACTTCTAGGGTACTTCAAGGTTCTATTCATAGTCCTGTTTTGTTTGTTATTTACATTAATGATCTTCCTGACAACTATAGGTTTAAAGTAGCTCTTTTTGATGATGACTCAACTTTATACTCCTGTCTTAACAAAAAGTCTTCTCTTTTTGATTGCTAAGAACAGGCAGCCAATCTTGAATCTGATATCATTTCTGTAACAAATTGGGGCTTGCAGTGGCTTATGAATTTTAACTCCAACAAAAACTCAGTTATTTACTGTAAACAACAACCACAATACTGTCAACAATCCTATAATTATTAAAAAACAAACCTCTCACTGAGTCCTCGTCTTCTTGGATTATCATTACTACTGACCTTTCATGGAAACTATATATACAATCGATTACTAAATTAGCATCTGTTAAGTTTGCTTCTTTTTATCATGCTTGCTATTTTCTCTCCCCGAATTCCATTATCTATTTCTAATTACAGTAATTTCCAATTACAGTAGCGTTGACAATTTTTATTTTTTTACATAAAGAAATATCTTATGTGCTCTAAAAACTTAATTTCGCATTGAAATTAGTCACTAATCTTTATCATTTTATAGCTTTTGGTTTATACTTTATTTGAGTTGGTGTGTTACATACAGGTTAGCAAGCTTTGAATCACAATTATTATCTAATGTTTTTGTTGTAATTATTGGTCAGAACAGCAAAAATTATGCAAAAAATGGCATGTTTGAAGACTTGGTCCCTATTCTGTTGAAAAGATTTTGTTGAAAATCTGTTGATCTGTTGAAAACATCTAATATGTCGCTTTTTTATGCCAGACTTGAATTAACAATACAATGCATTGTAGTATTTTACTTGTTTGACCTATGTAGCTCCTTTTTCTCCACCCTATTAGGGTTTGTTGGTAACAGTACAATTTTTGGTAATAATACTATTCCCAGCTTACTGTTGATGAGGATGAAAAATTATAGAGTTTCTGCAAAAAAGATATGGGTGTCACAAAGGTGACAAAAACAAAGGATGTTTAACTCGTTATAATACAAATGAAATACATGAATATAGATTGCTTTGAAATCAATATTATGGTGGAGCATCAGAACAGACTTAATGAAACTGTGAAGAACAAACTTAATGACTTAATCGTGGCTCAACTCAGTGCTCGTCTGGGCTGTGACAAACACTTAATGACATCAAACATTCCTGAAAGCAACAATGCTTTGCATTCTAAAACATTAATGGACTATCCCTTTCTTGGATACTCCATTTGCATGCAATCTTTTTCTTTTTCTGCATGGCATCAGTAAAAAACGCTTGCGTCTACTTCGGAAAAGAGTGTCAGTGTCCGACATAGCTCTCGTTATGCATGGGAATACTGGAAAATCTCTGCCCCATGCTTGCAATAAAAATGATACATCTGTGGTTGTCTCATTCTTAAGTAATTATGCCAAAAATAATGCTTTCATTTTGCCTGGAAAAACAGCAGGCATACGAGACCACAGGATGCTGCTGCTTCCTTTATGGGAAACTAAAAAGGATATTCATGACAAATATGTGACTTCATGTCAATTGGCAAGAATACGAGGTCTTCAAATAGACAGCTTCAAAAGTATTTAGAGAAATGCCTTGGCAAATGTAATTATTCAAAAACTAAGAACAGATCAATGCAGTGTCTGTCAAAGAAATATTGTAAAACTGTCAGATCTGGCCAATCTAGATGACGACATCAAACAATCTCGGGTTGATGACATGGTCGCGCATTTTAACTTAGTTAAGACAGATTGTTTAGCATACCACCAATGCATCAAAAAAGCAAAAAAAACAAGTGCACACATTTTGTTTGATTACGCGCAACAAGTGTTTTTACCAAATTTGCCAGACCAGCCTGGTGTCATATTTTCTTACCTCCATTCAAGGTAGGCATCTTTGGCATAGCAAAAAAGGCAGCTGGTACTCAACATAATTATCTTATTTCTGAGAACATGGTTACGGGCAAAGGTGCCAATTGCATAATAAGTATGCTGCATCACTACCTAAAGGATGTAACTCAAAACACGATAGTATTTTATGCGGAGAATTGTGTCAGACAAAATAATAATAAAATTGTCATGGACTATTTATCCTGGTGTGTGCCAGTTGGATTAAATAAGAAAATAACAATTATGTTTCTGCCCCTTGGGCATACAAAATTCTCCCCTGACATGGGTTTCAGGATACTTAAGGCAAAATTTAGATGATTGGAGGTCGTTTCAGTAGAAGATCTTGCTAATTGCACCGTGGCAAGTACACCAATCTTAAAACTAAACAAAGCAATCATAGTAGGGAATCAATATGGTGATACTTTTGTTCCTACCTATGAATGGCAAGACATTCTGTTATCGTCTTTCAAAGTGATTCCGAACATCAAACAATGACACTCATTTACTTTTGATTATTCAAAACCAAGAATAGTTACTTGTAAGATGAATTCTAAGAGTTCTGATGCATTTTTTAATATATGGTGAATTGACGACATCAAGAGCATTGATATTCCTGATATCATCCCACCATTGCCAGTTTCACCCAAAAAACAAAGGTATTTGTTTGACAACATTTGATTACTATTGCCAGAACGAGGAAGGGACTCGATATGTCCAAAAACCCTAACAAAGCAAAATTAATTTCTAAAGCGTTTCCATTCAAAATTTTGTAGAATTGCTGATAATGATCCTATCATTAGCTTATTCCTAACTCTATGCAGCTGTATCAATAACTCCATTTCATAGACTTGGTATCTTATCTCATCTTGCGTCTCATATTTTGTAAAAACTTATAAAATGTCAAATTTCAAATCAAATCACTTACTGTTTTTTTAAATCAAATGACTGTAATTTTATATAAAAACCAATATAATTGAATATCAAAACAAACTTGCAACTTTTTTTTTTTAATTTCTTAAAAAAAATTAAAAAACCAAAACATCAATAACTCCTCAACAAAATATAAGGCCAAAACCAAACTGATTTGTAAAATAGATATATATCTAACTTTTTATCTAGTTTTTCCTATTTTTCTAGAGACATAGTTGTCAATACTTTATTTTTCTCTCATTAGCAAGTTTTGCAGATCTTAAAATCTATAAATCTATAAATTTTAAAAGAGACAAGACAATAATTATCAGATTCAGCAGGTACCAAACTTTAGCATTGCAGATAAACATTTTGTGTCTTTAAATATTTACAACATTAATAGTGATAATAAGTATGTTGCTTTATCTTACATGCATTTACAATAAACATTATGTAAATAATTATATTTATTTTGGTTTGCTACTTTAAAAAGTGCTATAAGGAATTTAACAAACTATGATAAACCACAATACTTTAAAAAAGTTTTAGATAAGTCTTTGTTATTGTTTGATTTTTTTTTGTTAATTTAACTTGAATTTTGACATATAGGTCAGGCAAAATGAGTCCTTCAAGATCTCATTCTACACAAGTTTCTTATAACATAGATATTATAAAATTAGGTTATATATACTTTGATAAACTTTCAACATGAATAACACAAGAATAGAATAGTGCTAGTGAAAACTTATCTCTAGAAAGTATATAATAAATAAAAGAGAAGATAAAAACTGACCAGATCTGGAAATGTTGCTTTAATGTCAATGACATCATGAATAGGACATACCAGGTCTTTTTTCTCATTTAAATATTTTGAACCCTGTTCTAGCTCAAAAGCAACTATACAGTTTTTTTTAGATGTGTGAATTAACTTTAGCTGTGAAATTTCTTCTTCGGAAAGATCACCAAAAAAATCTGTAGTTGTGCTATTGAGAAAATCTCTTGATGTATTGTTTAAAATCTGAATCTCATTTTCAATACATTTACTGCAAAATGAAACTCTTCTAACTGCCTTCAATCCACGAGGGTCAACAAAACGATCAAGCTGTGAATACCACTCTGCAAGCAAGGTATCAATATGTTCAATTGTAAGAACAAGTAATTTGCAAGCACTCAACTGAGAATTGTAATGCACACTTTTTACACGAAAACCAACCATTTGCTCATCTTGCAACTCTAAACATACAGCAAAACATAACTATAAAAAAAAAAAAAAACTGTATCAAACATAAACATGACTTGCCGGAAATAAAAACTAACCTGAATATTGATTTTTGTTCAAAACAAATTTATCAATGATTAATGTGATGCTGGGAGCTGTGATCTCAATCGCAACTCTTCTTGAAAAATCCACTACTGGATTCTTAACAAAAACACACGATGATGTGGCTAAACAAATAAAAAAAAATTTTAAACAATTGAAAATTACGTACTATCAAAAAAATTTAAATTTCATGTTATTAATTGTAGCTTGATAAGTATAGCAGTATGAACATAAAAATAATTTTATGTTCATATTGTAAATCATTTTAGGCCCATTGCAACTTAAAACTTCAGTTTATGTACTTTGAGGTTTACTTTGCTACACACACCCATGTAAAATTTACATGTAATTACTGTAAATAAATAATGTCCTCCTAAACTTAAGCAATAGTTTCCAGAAATAAATAAATTTTGTGCGTTATCTAAAACTTGGCTCCTAATTTAAAAATGACAAAGTATATCAAAATTATTGATCATAGACAAGTATAAGAACTTGGTGTAAAAATTTTGACAACTGTACATTTTTTTCATATTTTTCAAGTTTTTACTAGTTGAAATGTACCTGTGATAATAAATGGATGAAATTATAGTCAAAATCAAACAAAACATTTTTGTGCAAAATATTTTTGTAATTATTCTTAAAGTAGTCATCTTTCATTTTCATTTAACTTTCAATTTCATTTAATTTATTTGTTTTAAGGAATTATTTATATTTTAGTGACTGCTTTTTATAAATTCTGAAACCTTTATCTATAAAAAATACATGTGATTTGAAATAATTTTAATATTTAGCATCATAAATGAACATATTTAAAAAAAAGATGTACAGAAAAAAGATCCAGCAAAAAATGGACCAGGGGAAAAGAAAATGTAGACTGTTTAAAACAAAAGCAAGACAATCTGTATATCTTCTGTAAATTTTCAGTCAATCAGCTTCCCAGTGTTCAAAATATTCTGCATTTCACTTTTTAAAATCTTCAATGTAATTAGAACATCAAGTTTTATGCAACTTATTTATTAACCCTTCAACCAATCAAAAGAAGCGTATCTGAATTCTTTTTTCTATATGTTCTATATTATAGGAACACCACATTAAACGTATCTGAGTTCTTTTTTCTACATGTTCTATATTATAGGAACACCACATTTCAATCCAGCAATTGAAAAACTGTGCCCAACAAAAACCATAGTAAGGATAGAACATGTAAGAGATTAGTTGAAAGGTGGGTGACTTCCGATGTCACTGACATATTGATAAGAGCTGGATTTAAGTACAATAATGCCAGTGCAAGGTTTGTCAAGTATATTTTACAATAAATATTTTTATGGAATTCTTTCCTAATTTTCTTTTTTAGTAACTTCAGCTATGTAACAATTATTCAGTGAAAAGATTCTTAGACTCATCTAGAAATACAACAAAATGTAAGGATGGGATAAACTAAATTGTATGGTATTACTCTCTTATGGAAAATAATACCATATTTGATATATCTGCTCATAACAAATTGACAGGATAATGAAAGATTGAAGAAGAACGGAAGAGGCACAAGTAAAAGGTGTAGTTATTTATGAAGACTATCTATCTGAAATGATTATGACCATGACTGCACAGCAAGATGAAGATTTTGACCTTTTAGATGAAGAGTTTAAGCATTTGATACTCTATAAAGAATGAAAGATTTGAAAGTGTTAAATAATAATAAACAATAAAAACACTGAGGTAGCTAAAAAGTCCCCACTTTAAGAGAAGAGCACTATGCAAATGGTTGACAGATCATAGAAGTCAACAAACCAGAAAAGCTCAGATAGTGCTTAGGACGGTAAAAAAAAAATTTGAAAATGCTACAGGTGCATTTGATTGTTCCATTTCATGTGAAGAAAGTACTGATTCTGAATGAGGTGTATAAATAAATCTAAAATAACTTAAGAATTAAAACCTGGCAAACTCATTGAAGTTACATCTGCTGTTAGTGTTTGGTAAAGAATTGATGTTAGATTGCAGGCTATTTATTTCAACCTCTTCTATCTGCATAAAGCTGGTGTTGATTAGCATGAAATTAATTTATTAAGACCTTTACAGAACCATGGCAGGAAATATATATATAGATATAAATTTCCTATAATAAAGTGCCAACCATATTTTATATGGTTTTTTCAAACAAAGAATAATGAAAAAAACTTGTGCCCCAACCTAAATTGATATATCAGCAACTAACTTGAATGTTTTCCTTAAATCAGTTGATGTATGTACTCCTCACAGCTCCCTATATCAGTTTGAAGTAAGATATTAGGGTATGACACAAAACATAAGTTATTTTAAAAAATAACATGATTTATTTTGTTTTTTTTATATACACTTTCAGAAAATAGAAAAAATAATATCCAGTAATCACTTTTACTGTTGAACCTAGAGAGCCTATATACTCAGAGAAGCGACATACATGTGATTGTTTTTGATTGGTTGTTTGATTTTTAGGTTTTTGATACCAAGTTTTTGCCAAAAAAAACTAACTGCAAGTGAACTTGCAACTAAATTTTTGTTAAATATTTGTAAAATTTCATGAAAAAGAATGTGCTTTAATTCTTGATGATATGTCAATAACTGAAAGTGGTAACTATGATACATATCAAGCTCATACTATGGAATTGTTAGATTACCTTAACATTATACTATAATGTTAAGGCCATAATTTATGGCCAAGCTAACCATACTTTAGTTTTTAAGCTTAGAGGAATATCTGCGAGATGAAAATAAACTGTAACATATTACTATAGTGAAAGTTCTGTTTAAAAAAGGTGCAAATAACCAGTCAATGTAGAGATCTTTTAGCATAAGCTGTACTTAAAGTTATACTTTTTCCAGTTTAAATAAACATCCATGTGACTCAAGTTGTTCTATCGATTTTTTTGCAAACGTGCTTCATTTATTGAAGAATACAAGAACATCTCTCTTATGTAACAAACTTTTCATAATTACAGCTGGAATTCAAAAAATATATATACTTCTATCACTAGTTATAGATTCAAAATTCCTGCACAAGTTTATTGACATTCTAAATAAGGATGTTTACTTATAAACTTGATGAAAAAAATTTTTACAAAACAAAAGTATCAAGAATATTATATTGAAATAAAACTTAAAGTTGTGGATTAAAATTAATTTTGTGAAATAAATCATAATGTAAGTTGTGGATTAAAATTTATTGCAAATAAAAAAAGATAATTCTATACTCACAACTGCTTGATTTAACTGAATTATTGATAAATGGTTTACACTTATGACATCATGAAACCCTACTATGGCTTTTAGTATAAAAAATCACTAAATTTACAATAAAACAAAAGCTTTTTTTAATGAAATTATAGAGGTACTATGTGAATTATATTTATTGAGCCAAAGTAGAAAACTAAGGGTGAAACTTATTCAATCTGGTATTATTTTGTCAACAATGAAATATTCTTTAAAAAAAAAAAATTTTAATATGAAATTGCAATTTACCCAAAACTACTAAAAAAATATTTACAACTGGTACATTCATAAAACAAGTCATTCCTACAGTTTTTCAATACAAAAATGACATATTTGTGTTGCTCAACTTTTAAAAATATTACATTATCAAAGTGCAGTTACGATACTGTATAATGACCATCAATTCTTATTGTATTTTCTTGACTTAGTAAGATACACAATCCACACAAAAAAAGAGCACATTGTTTTACTCAAAGATTCAGATAAAACGTCAAGTTTAATTTAATTCGTTTTGAATCTCAATATTTTAAAAATAGAGTAAATGCTGATTATACAATGTGGGAAATTTATTTAATAAAACAAACTTTGCATATTTTTTATTTTTAAATAGAATTAATATTTAGATCATCTTTGCCATAATTTTTACCTAAAAGAATGGTAATTCTATACTCTAAGAGAAAATCAATAAACAAATTAAAACTGATGAACAAATTAAAAGTTTAGCTTTTATCCTAATTCTTTTTTTTTTTTTATTCAACCATATCAGTAAAAATTTACAAATCTTATCCTAAATTAATAGAATTTGGTTAGGTGTCACTCATATAATTACAAACTATATAAGTGACACTCAAAAAAAAAAAAAAAAAAATTAAATTTTCAAAACAAAATTTTGTTTAAAATATTGTGTTTTACAATTGCTTTTACTTAAAGTTTTCCGTATGTCGCCTCTCTGAGTATATAGACTCTCTAGTTGGTCCCAGTGATCTAAAAACACAAATTATTTTAACTTGTATACATATAGAGAGGGGAGGGGAGGGGAAGGAGCATCACAAAATATAGTATTCAACAGTTTCATATTTATGTATTCTGTTTTGTATTTCATATTTATGTATTCTAAGAAAAAAAATGCTCTAGGATTTTTAGCCAAGAATAATTTTTTATTGTCTTAAATTTTACACAATGATCACAACACATCTGTTCAATCTTCTTTTTAACTAATAGTTTAAATAAAGCATTGAGTTAATAGGTAAACTCTGCGCCAAAAGAAAGCGCAAGAGACATTTTAAATTTTTAATGATTTGGGAATAAATCTCAGTTTTATTAGTATAATCTCAGCCAATTTGTCTTATCTAAATTCATTTTTTAAATATTTAAGAATCCTTTTATGTTTTAGTAAGACCTTCAATTTTCTTTTTTATCAATAAATAATTTGGAATTAGAGTTGTTATCGACTTTGGATAAATCAGCTGAATTTCGCTTAAAGTCAAAATTAATTAAAAAATGGAATAGTTGATTTAATCAACAATGGATTTTCTATTTTTTTCAACAAAGGATTGAGTCAAGTAATGGTCTTAAAATCTTTATACCTTTTTATTTAATTTAATTTTTAATTTTTTAAACTTTTTCTTTAATTTTTTGTTTATTTAATAATAATGACATGTACTATTACAGATATTACATACTGTTTTTTGTTTATTCTCTCAAAGTTTTATCTAATTCATAGCATGTTAGCAATATTTATACCAAATGAAACTTTTGGTTATGTACATCATTAATTTTTTTGTTTGTTTGCAAAATGAAATTGTGAAGCTCCAAAATCTAAATGTCATCTATACAATCATATTTACAATGTGATTGTATAGACATTTTGATATTTACCAAGAAATTAAAGCAGTCCCTAAATCATTGGGGCTGGGAATAAATTCCCATGTTGTTGGAGCAGCCATGTTCTTGGAGCAACCCTACTCTTATATTGTTTTGCTCTATTTAGATATTTAATTGCTATATTTAAATTTTATGCTGTTATAAATATAAATTTTTAATTTTATTTATGATTTAATTTTATTTTATGATAATAAAAAGCAAATAAAAATTGCTCTATTACTTTTCAAAAAATTACAATTTTGAAAAAAAATCGAAAAATTTATTTTATTTAATTTTTTATTTTATTTAAATTCAAAAAAAACATTCCCATGTTTCAACTAAATCTACTTTTATTCAACTTTAGAAAATATATTAGTCAACTTCGTTGACAGTCCAATTATTTAAAAGTTGAAACAATACTACTCTAAATACAGTTTTTTTTATAACAACTTTGCTTTGTGTTCGATTCAATTTGAGAGCATTATCTACAGGTAAATATTTGTTAGCAAAGAAAGTAACATTAACTCTTTTATCTTTTTGTGTTTTCTAATTGTTTTTTCTTAGTGATTACAGCCTCAGTTGGTTTTATATTAAATTCAGAATATTGTAATGTCTAACTAATAGGATTACAACTTAGCAAAGGTGTTATTAATTGGATAAGAATTATGATAAAGGTGATGGGTTATGACTTAGCAAAGGAACTATTACTTGGAGCAATAATAAACTGTAAATCATTTTTGTAAATCATTTTATCTAATTTTATTTTGTTGTAAAATACTACACATTTTGTTGTTATCTTTCATCTAATTTTATTTTGTTGTTAAATGTCTTGTTGTAAATAAACATCATATTATTAAATGATAAGTTAAATGTATATTAATTAATCTAGTTGAATTAATGTTGAATTAATTAAATTTGTAAAATTAAAAACTTATACAGATCGAATAAAAATTGGGACCCACAAACATTATTGATACTATGCCCATAAACAATATTGATACTATGTCCACAAACATTATTGATACTATGCCCACAAACATTATTGATACTATGCCCACAAACATTATTGATACTATGCCCACAAACATTATTGATACTATGCCCACAAACATTATTGATACTATGCCCACAAAAAAACAAAAATGTTTTTACTTAACCCTTCTCTCATTATATATACACAAATTAGTTTTCAAACAGTTTTCATAAAAAGAAAAAAGCTCTGAAAAATAATTAAGAAAATGCCACCACAGAGTTCTATTTTAGCATAATTTTAGCAATGTTTCACATAAGGCTAAGTATATCAAAATATAGATATATTAAACTACCATAATTAACTAAATTACCATAAAAAATCTTAATTGATAATTAACTAAAAAATACAGAAATGTTATTATGCACAGATGTTATGGGATGTTTATTTTGTTTTCCATTTTTAAAAGTATAAAATAATCTATTTCTTACATATATATTTTTAACTAATTTAATTATCTGGAACTTTGTAGAGGAATATCAACAGAACATTTTTATTCAGAAAGTTGATTTTCATTTTTTGTTAAGTCAAATTATATTTATAGTAAAGTTTGAGCGCTAAATTTATTGAAAAGTTTGAGCACTAAATTTATTGAAAAGTTTGAGTACTAAATTAAAGGTAAAACATTACAATATTAATTTAAATGACTTTATTATTAGAAACCTTTTATAAATTTCTGTTCACTTGTTGGATGGACGTTCATATTTAAAACTTTAAAAAAACTACTCAGAATTTCATAAAGAAACTACTTCTATAATTCTCGTAAATAAAAATTTTTATTTACAAGAATTATTTATTTTAAATAGGCTAATGTATATACTTGCATAGGTTTTATCCGGTCATACATACATACTTGTAATAAACACTAAATAATTGTATTTGTATGCTCATACATACATACTTGTAATAAACACTACATAATTATATTTAATTAGGTCATCATTATACATAATTGTATTTATATAAGTATCAGTAAGTATGTTAAAAATGAACGCAACCTATTGTTTAGCTAAAAAGCTATTGATTTTTTTGTACTTTATTTATGTCGAATGAAGATTTACAAGTTGTTGCTGCACTTCTGAACAAAATGTATAAAACTAACAATTCAATCACTTTTTATTTTTTTATGCTTTATTTACTAATGCCTTATTAAAACAATTTCTCTTCTGTTGTTGAGTATTTTTTTTAAAAAAAGCCAGCTTAACAAAAATTAAACTGTTTATTTTTAAAATCAAATTTATTTTTTACTTTTATCTGACTTTATTCTATTTGTAAATAACAAGTATATTTTATGTACATGAAACACGCAACATGTAACACCTAATCACAAAGCTTGATATATATATAAAATAAATTAAATATTTTTACTGTTTGATCCATAAAAAGGTACTTCTGGTTCAAGCTGACCAACTCTCAATAGCTTTATTCCAAAACAAGACAGTTCAATACCAGTTTTCCAACAAGCCCATTCAGGAGGGGCTGCTTTCTTAAGGATTTCTTTTTCATCTTGTGCTTGACTACTATCAGTAACATTGGAACCTTGAACATCACAGCACAATAATACAATATCACGAATTCGATCATCAGCTATCATCCTGAAATCAAAAGTAATACTAAAGTATTATTGAAAACAATTTAAAAATCATTATTAAATGAATAGTTAAACTTAATTATTCAACCCAATGCAATAGATGCACTGAGGTAAAATGATGGCAGATAGTAAAGATAATAAAGATAATATTTTCACCAAATATAAATAATAACAATAATAAAGAATTATAATAGTAATTAGCAAATAAGTATTTTTTAAAATTTATTAATATATTAAAAATAAGGGTTATCATATCCTTAATATTTAAAGAGTTTTTCCCAACTAAATTCTAATCTAAATTAATAGATAAGGACTTATGATTAATAGACTAACAGATAAAAACAAAAAACTATCTAATCTAAAAATATTATTTGATTAATCCCATTAATTCCAAACTCTCAACTAAAGCTCAGATAAAGAACAAAAATAAAAATAAAAAGTTTGAACTGAATTATTTAATTAAAACAACAAATTAATATAATAAAATGGTAAGTAAACATAAAAAAAAATGTCTTTGAAAAAAAAAAAAAAGTACTATTGTAAATAAGTTAATAGCTGAATTATTTTATTAATTAATTTGTGAGCGAGTGTTTTTAAATTTACTCTTTAAACATCAACAACTTCTGATCAACTCCTAAATATAAATTTGTTATAACTACTTATTCTTTCGACATCAGACGTGTGATTACTACTTACTAACTTGTAACATCAGACACGTGATATACTTTCATTTAATGATAATAGGGTTTCCATTTTTGTTTTGATTTTTTATGAAAAATAGAAAGAAAAAAAATTAGTTTTAAATGCAGTAGTATATAAATAACTCTCAGTTTAATTTGGCTACCTAGTTACTTTCTTCAAAAAAATAAAAAGAATTAAAAAGAAATTGAAAAATCACTTTAAAAATTATAACCTTTAGTAAAAGTTAAATGAACAGATTTACTAATATTTAAATCAAAATTTTAAATTTTAAATAATAGAAAATAAGTTTAAATGTTTTTATTCGAATAGTTTATTAAATGCGTTTATTAAATGCTTACTGAATTTGTTTACTAAACACTTAAATTTTTATTCAAATACAAGACGTAAAACTATTTTGTTAATTTTACAAATATTACGCGATATAATATATGTAAATATATTATGTAATGTAAATATTGAATAAAAATTGTTTAAAATATTTTTAATTATTATTTTAAATTAAATTTACTAAAATATATTTAATAACTTTTTAAAATACTTTAAACAATTTTCAATAATTATTTACTGATAGCGTAGTACATGCAACAAAAGTGTTTATTAAAATCTTAAGTAAAATTGTTCTTTTAGCTCAAGTAACACCGTCCACCAGTAAATTCATGCATTCAAAAAATGCCTTTAAATCATAAATGATTATAAGGAAAATGATGATTAAAAATTATTGTTGCTGCACCCATTTAACTAGGGGAGAATGAGGAGGAGGGGGAAATCAAAAACATAATTCCACCCCCCACCCCCCCTCAACATTGCTGAAAAAAAAACGGTATCTCTAAATAAACTCTGGGTTCTGGATATATGGACCATTCGGTATTTTTTTCAGTCATTTTTACGCTGTGGCACATAAAAAAGGCTGCCAAAATAATGCAGTTCGGGGCCCTGAAAAGTCCAACAAGATTCAACCAGTAAAACTAATGCTAGATGATTTATTTATAAATAAAAAAGTTTTTTCAATAAGTGTTTTATGCTTCGCGAAGTTTGAAAAGTTTAACACATTTGAAACAATTCCTCTTAATAAGATGAACAAATGAAATAATTAAATCATTGAGTTACTGTAGAAATTTAATTAGCTAAATAGAAATTAACTAGAAACGTTAAATTACCGTTAAAATAATGAACTTAATTAAGGAAACATACATAAATTTAAATGTTCTCAAAACAACTAAAATATCTGGTTTTTCGCAACTAAATATTATTTCCATGGTCAGTTATCGAGTGCGATCGCACCCGCTTCCTGACCAAGCCTGATATATATATATATATATATATATATATATATATATATATATATATATATATATATATATATATATATATATATATACAAAAATCCATTAACTTCATATTGCTTAATTGCTAAATGTACAAATGCCCCAAAATCTACAGTCATAGATATTATAAATAAGTTTAAGACTACTCAAAGCTTGAAAAGAAAATCTGGAAATGGAAGAAAGAAAAATTTTTATAAATCTGAAAAGGTAAAGTTGATTCTCAGTTCAATAGCATGAAATTCAAACCAGTCACAGCGGGATCTAGCAAGAAAATTTAAGATTTGCGTTCTTATATCAAAAAAGTACTAAAAATGCTGGAATTAAAGCATTTCATAAGAAAAATACATATAAGAGAAGCTTAAATGGTGAAATTAAAGGAATTTAATGCACAAAAAATGGGTTAAAATGATGGCGGATAAAAGTATATTCATAATTGAAGACAACAAAACATATTGCAAGACAGATTTTTCACTATTTCATGGTCAACAATTTTACAATGAAAACAAAGATAAACTTGTTGATGATCAATTTAAATATATTCAAAAAAAAATTTGCAATTTGCAAGTTCCTTGTGTGGCAAGCGATTTGTAGCTGTGGTATAAATGTGGTATAAATTTGTAGCTGTGGTATGCAGTCCTTTGGTTTTGTCACTAAGAAGACCTTGATTGCTGATCTCTTCCTAAAAGAATGCCTCAAAAAAAGACTTGCCATTAAAAAAAAAACACTAATACCAATATCTCTTTTGGCCAGATCTTGCTGTTTCTTATTATTATAAAAAAGTTCTACAGTGGTACAAAGATAAAAATGTGAAAATTGTTCCTAAAGATGCAAACCCTCCAAACCATTCCAAAGAACGCTTTGTGTTATGTTAAGGATTGAAAATTTTTGGACAATAGTTAAGGGAATTCTTCATAATAAATATTATATTAAAAAAAAAATTATAAGGACTTCCATAAAAAAATGGCTTAATGTCACCAATAAGATAAAAAAAGAAAAAATTTGCGAAATGATGGCTATATCTATATAATTCGCTATATAATAAAGTTCAATCTCTTGCCAAACAGCCCATCAAGCCCCTTATATTAAGTTGAAAGCCTAATTGAATCTGTGAAAAGAAGAACTGTACTAGTTTAACATTTTCATTTTAAGAAATTAATGTTTAAGTTTTAAAGAGTTATAGTTTATGAACTATTTATCAATCAACTTTATGGCAAAAAATAATGAAAGAAAGATGGACGAGAATTATTTTTGCAGTACATAAAGAGATCAACATAAGTTAAATGAAATTATGAAAAAAAGTGCAAATAACAAAAAATGGACTAGTACTGTTTTTCTTCTTCCCAATTCAATTGTTATAAACACATTTAATATTAAAAAAAAAATAAGCAAGAAATAAAATTGACTGTTATCATTATATTAGAAAAAAAAAAAGAGTACACATTTGAATTAAAGACTGATACCAATGTATCCGTATTGGCCTGAACCAATCAGCATTAACCAAAGTTAGGCATTAGCGTACCTTTAGTTTAAATAGATAACTAAAAACCATGGTTTTTTGTCAAAACCAAAATGAATGAAAAGGGTTTGTTTTCTAAAACGGTTTAGGCAGGTTTTTTTTTTTTTTTTTTTTTTTTTGTTATTTATTTATTTATAAAAAAGAATGTTTATTTATTTATTACAAAAAAGTGTAAAAAATCAAATTTAATTAAATTATTTTTATCATTTAGATTGTATTTTGCTGGAAAGCTAAAGATGTTTTTTCATTTTTAAAATTATTCAGGTAATCCAAAAAAAATGTTGAATACAGAATAAACATGCAAATATATTCAAACAATTTTAAATTCAAACATGTGAATATATTTGAATACTGAAAACATGCGAATATATTCAAATATAAAGTCTTTAAACACTAAAATAGAATGGCCTATTCTTTATATTAAAGATTTTTATTCCTTAAAAAAACATACTGATATTTTTAGTGTATATTTTGGTTGAACAAAATATTAACTTCTAGGCATGTAATAAAAATAATTCACGATAACTTTTCTATCAATTATTTAATTTTTTGAAAATGTGTCATCAGTTTGGAAATTTCCTACCTGAAGCTGAATTCTAAACTCAAGAAATGTTAAAGGCATCTGTAATAGATGCGGTTCTTTTATAAAATGCTTTGATGGATCCACAACTAGTTTGCGGAATCATATTTTGTGCCATGGAGTTACTATCAATAATCCTTCAACTGGAGAATCAAGCAGCAGCTCAAATACATCGAAAAAAAGAATTAAAATTATGGACAGTTATTTACAAAAATCAAGCTTTAAAGAAATTATAGCTGATCTAGCAACAGATGATGTTTTGATTATTATGATAACTAATGACAAATTTATTTGTTCATCGATTCAATAAAGAGAAATCATCTTCTTAAAAGTTCAACAACTGTGATGAATTTAATCCATCAAGATTTTTCTGATAAAAAGGAAGTGTTGAAACAAGAAATTATCGAAAAAATTCAAATGGGAAATAAATTTAGCTTAACGTATGATGAACACACATCTTTGAGGCACAGAAGTTAGATTGTTATTAACCTGTATGAAAGCAAATTAGTCATTTGATATCAACTCAACCAGCATTTTGACAATCGTTCACCACACCATCTCAGATCTTCCTAAAATTTTTAGGGCTTGTAGTACATTCAAAGTTAATCAATTGCTAAAAATTTTAGGCCATTTGGTCAAAAACTTTTTAAGATATGATTTTTTAAAGTTTTAAGGGTTGTCTTGAGTTCACATGACTTACATTTTTGCGATATTTGTATGAGAATATTTCAAAAACTAAAACAGGTATCAGACAGAAATTGTCAGCATTTACTGCTGAGTTGAATGGTGTTTTTATATCAAATGTAGCTTACATACAATATCCCACAAAAATATCCAAACATTGCACTTTTTCACCAATATTTGACCCGATATAGCCAAGA